GTTGCCTGTGAACATGAGCCTGTAAATCTGTTGTTTCAGCTGAATGATCACTGGTTTTGTTGCCTTGTCTGATCGTAAGATGCACCTTTGCTCAGGGAAAGCGGAAGGCGAGTTTCCCCAGTTGCTTGTCTAACGCTGTCCCTTTTAGCACTGATCGATTTGAGGTGGCCCGAGGTCCTGCAGTCCCAGTCTCTACCCCTCTATGAAGGAACGATGATCGCTTCTTGTCTTCCTCCATTAATTGTGCCTTTATGTTTAGAACACGGTTACGCGTTAAAACGTCAGTTGTGGTCACTAGGGGAAGGAAATGTGCTACCTACTGTCTGGTTAATAATGCTTTGAAGTGTTGCTCTTAACTGTGGTTCCGGTGCTGGAGAGCAAATCACTTTTTTCTTCTTGACAGATTCTGCTAACTGTGCCAGCTGGATCATTAGATCACCTTCATCTTAATGTGGTCTTAGAGTTCTTTGCTCTATCTGCGAGCCTATAAATATATATACATATATATACACATATGTACATCCCTCTGTACATTAACCAGATATCAAGGCAGCATGTTTTTTAACAGACTCTTTTGGAAAATTCATGTCTGGAAGAATACATCCTGCTGCTTTTTTTCCCCCCAAAGACTTAAAAGCACTGGTTTTATTAGATTCAATGTTACTGATCAGTTGCATAAAAAAATGTGAAAAAGTCAGAAATATGTGTTTGACATGCACTTTTAAAATGAGGTATTGTTTCAGCTGTTGAGTTTTTACAAATGTTGTATTTATAACATGCTATGTCTGCAAAGACCATGCAAAATAAAAATGAAAAATCAAGTAATTTGTGACAAACACCATGATATTTTCAACTTGCTGGAAGAATCCACATCACGTAATACATAATTGTTCTTGGAGATGAAAGTATGACGGGGGAATGCCACGCAGTTGCTCAGTTGATGGAGATATGGAGACTCTTCTCTTTGACCTCCTGGATTTAACACGTATGGGATACAACAGCCTGGTTTTGTGCCCAGAACCCAGGAGAAAGCTCACCTATGTAATGGCAGAAATAACATTTCTCTGTCCTGGCAAAATTCCCCAAACCTCTGTGATAATGTGACCGTAGGATGATGCACTGGTTCAGGTCTCTCAGCACCCACAACTGACCCAGACTGTGGAATTTGGTATTTATCCCAAATGAGGGGAAGGCTGGTGGTGTGAAGGGAAGGAAGGGAAAACTATGCCTCCAGTGCCGGTTGTACAACATTCTTGCTGAGGGTTTTGCTGGTGGGCAGGGCCGGACCAGGCTGGGGTCACTGCTGTCAGCAAACACCATCGACACCATCATCGTGTCCATTTGTCTTGACCATTGAAGCAGCTTCTTTAATAACTGACTGCTTAAAATGTAATAGAAATGATGCTGTTGACTTTTTTTTCCCCATTTCTCGATCTGGTAATTGTGGTGATAATGATTTGGTTTATCCTGGTTAAAGGACTCTCTGAATAAGGCTATGGTAGGTCCTAAGAAATAGGGAGAATTCGCAGTGAGCTGCTGTTCTGACGTACGTGTTGCCCACAAAGCAATCTGCTGGCTTCTCGGAGAGCGGTAGAAGTCTGAACCTGTGCTTTCCTCAAATGCAGGGGAGCAGTGTTATGAACTAACAGATCTGCTGGCAGTTCTCTGTCACAGATGTGCACTCCAGGGCTTGGAGTCTCGTTCTCCAAACGGTGCCCAACAGATTGACTTTTTGTTTCTTCTAGTTTTACTGGAAAGACTTTCACATTCTCCCACCTTCCCTCCTACCCCAAAACTGCAGTGTTCCTTTTCACATCATAAATGTAACCGGGTAATCTCAGAGGAAAGCTGAGGTTTGTGTTTTTAGCACTGTAGATTGCAGTGGAAAGAGATGAAATCGGAATGTCAGCTACTTAATAAGAAGCGTGCCTTTTGGATGATTCGTGCAGTTTAGTTGGAGAATGAATATCTGTGGCTTTTTGAATGTTTGACTAGCACCGAAGTTGTTGCATTGGGATGAATTGTTGCCTGTGGATTGCAGCTTAAGTATTTATTAAGAAAATAAGGCCAAACAGGGCAATGGACATAGCAGCTGAATGTGGCATTAACTTAAGTCAGTGGAATGGAAAACCAGAAGTCTGAGCAGCAAGATGCAGGGAACGTGCAGGCAGTGCTTCCTATGCAGGCTGGCTCTACAACATCCCACGGGGGCCGTGGTGGTGCGGTGGTGGGGCTTGGTATCGTTTGTTCTGGAAGCTGAAGTGCTCAACGGAGCAATGGCCAAGTCCTCCCAAACCCTGACTGTGCGTAAACTCGGGGGGGAGAAAGGGGGAGGAACTGAACACACTTGTTAGGCCAAACGAGGTCAGTGCTAGCAACCTCCTGGCCTGTGCCCTGCTGTGTTTTGTCCCTCTAGTGTATATACTGGTTTGAGTCCTCCGTGAGGATCAGGGCCTGTCAACATGGGGCTTCTTCCTTATGTCCTTGCTGGGCAGGTGGTCTGCAGTGGAGACCCACCCACACCATTGCCTGTGTTTGTTGGCCTGCTAATGCTGACCTGTCAGCTCTCAGCTGGCTCATCATCCACCCCTGTGCACTCCCGCTGCGCTCTCACATAAAGGACAACTCCGCATCCATGCCTGTCCCTGCTTGTCCTTCCTGAAGAAGCTGTATCCATCCACAGCAGCACTCCAGGCTTGTGAGCTATCCTGCAGCACCTCCGTCATCCCAGTGAGGTTGTAGCCCTGCAACTGCACGTGGACCTCTTAATTCCTCCTGCTTGTTCCCCCACTTGAGAGGCGCCTGGTTACGCCGATTTCTCAGGAAAGGTGTGAGAGCTTTCCCTGCAACGTAGGCACTTCTTTATTGTGCACGTGCACTGAAGTGGGCTCCTTCCACTCCGTTTTGTCGATTACGAGGTTTCTCCTCTGCACGTCACCCCGCACCTTTTGCTTTCCAAAGGACAAAACAGCGGGTAGTGAGAGGGAAATGCTGAGAGCAGACTCTTCCCATCGAAGATCAATCTTGCAGGGGTTTGGATGGGTTAAAGAGGTCCCTCACCGGGGAGAGGGGCAGGATTCAGGCAAACTCATTCCTGTGCCTTTCCTGGTGTCCAGGGGTGTGGTGGGTGCCAGTACCTGGACGTCCTTGTTCGCCCATTTGCTGCGCTAACGTGAGCTGTGCTCTGGAAGCCGAGTAAGTGAAAGTTGGATGGTGCTAATCCATGAGTTTCCTCGCGTCTAAGTTACTGCAGCTGTTTTGTGACAGGCATTTGCTGGCAGCGCGCAGGGTGCTGATAACAACATGCAACAGGGCACGCTCGCTGCTTTTGGGGCACAAGCTCTGATGCGTCTATTTGCACTCAAACTATTGAGTTAAAGTAGTAGTTTTCAAGAGAAAAATCCTGTAAGCCAAGCTTCAATCCCATACACGGGTAGCGGGTTCTCATTACTCTAATGTATGTCTGTAAATCATAAGGGCTCAGAAATGCAATTCAGTTTGTCCAGATAATATCTCTGAGATCTCTTTCTTCCTGTGAAATTGAGCTTACTGGTCCATGACTGACTACGCCGTCTGCTATAACTTCCTTTTCCTCTTTGCATCTTTTCCTAGTTTTATTAAACCTGGCTTTGCTACTGCTGGGATTTTAAACTGGGATTTAAAAGATCAGGTTCAAATATTTCCTTACATTTATTTTTTTTTCTTTCTTTTTTTTTTTCCCTTGTTGCAAAAGCCAAGTCATTTAAAGTTGCACTTTACTTTCCCAGCGCAGATGTTATGAAGAGGTGAACTTTAATAATTCCCAGGCTGGGGGTGCGCTTGCAAGCGGGACCACAGGCTTGATGGTAATTCAGTAGTAGCGTGGGCTCCCGGCCAGCGGTGGTTGTTACCAGAAGCGGGATCGTTAGGAAACGAGTTTTGGAGCTGCTGCGCTGGAATGATTCCACAGAGCATCGGATCCAGTGATATAAACCTGAAAGTAGGTTCTTGTCACTCCTTTCTTTTTTTTATCTTTTCATTCTATCTCCTCCTCCTCTTGTGCCAACCCATTGGTCTTCGCAGCCCTCTCCTGGACCTTTGTCTGCCTGACCAAGACTCCAGGTTGACTTGTGTCATCCTGTACCATAAGCTGGGTCCCTTCATCTGGTCTTGGAGCGCATTCACAGTGGGGCTAAAGACTTGGCTGTGGATGGCCAGTCACTTTGTAGTAGTGACTTCATGTCAGAAGAATTTAAGAGATGAACAGTCAAGCCTTAAAGGAACTTTTTCATGTAACACAGAGATGGAAATTGTTTAGAAATAATTTTCTTTTTTTTTTTTTTTTTAAAAAGCCAATTTGGTTTATTTGAACATTTTCACAGCATATTTATCACAAAGCTCTGAGATCCTGCTTGTGTGTGCACATGAGCACTAGGAGCTGCAGTAGAGTTACAGTACAGACCACCCTTTTAATGCCTTGCTTTCGGCTGTACTAGCTTTCGGAAAACCTCTCTTCCTTTTTGCTTGGACTCCTCTTGAAAGTTAAGATTTCCTTTAAACTCTTAAATAAACTCCTCTGGAAGTTAAGGAATAATAATAATAATAATAATAATAATAATAATAAAAAAACCCTGCAGAAATTCCAGTAGCGTTTTTTCCCAGCTGGTATTTGAAACGTGAAAATACTTCACTCGCTGGCTCTAGGAAGCTGCATGTGGTTTGACAAGTGGAGTGGTGAAAACTGCTTTTTGAAGTAACACTTGAAAAATGCCAAAGCAAAAAGATGTGAGACAATGGTAGACTGTTATCTGCTTGCTAAACACTATCTGATCCGGGCTAAAAACGCACAGGCTGGTTAGGACTGACATCCTATGTAAATCCTCTTCTGCTCTTCCAGCTCCATCCCTCTTTGTTTTCTCTTTTCTTTCTTCTGTCTTCCCTTTAAAGGCTTCTCTTGCTTGTAAGCGGCAACAGGGATGGAAAACATGCACTTACAAGGCCTGTTTGACCTTCCATGGTCATCAGTCAACGTCAGTCTTATGTCCACTGGGAAAAAGCCCCCTGGTACAGAGCAGGCAGCGATTCGAACCGTGCAAGCGGGTGCGGTTGAGACCGCCCAGGTCCTCAGCTGCGTCTCGATGCTGTTCTTTGTGTCGGCGAAGTCTGGCCGCCGCCGTGTCTGCGGTCAAAGTTCTCATAGGTGGAGTCTTGCAGCTGTGGCCTGGCAGTGGAAGAAGTGAATAAGGTGAAGACACGTTTCTGGCTGCTCTAGACTTTATGAGTGGCTTCAACTAGTAGTTATGGAGTGTCAGAGTAAGTGTCTGCAATACTCTCTGATACGGATCCTCCCCTCTGCAGCAGGTAGTTTTTAAGTGTCTGAGTTGCATCTGATGTTTTACATCTAAAAGCATCCAGACTGATCTCCTACACCGTTAGCATTAACTCCTAGTGCTGTCCTGCTGCTCAGAGCCTCGGGAGATTGTGCAAACGTCTCCTGAGAAGGATCTTCTCATGGGAGTGGTTGAACATTGGAAGAGGCTGCCCAGGGAAGTGGTTGAGTCCCCATCCCTGGAAGTATTTAAAAGACGTGTAGATGAGGCACTTAGGGACATGGTTTAGTGGGCATGGTGTTGTTGGGTTGACGGTTGGACTCGATGATCTTAGAGGTCTCTTCCAACCTTAATGATTCTGTGATTCTATGTACAGTGTGGAGGATCTTGGTATTTAAGCTTTCATCTATGTATGCGTCTACACGAATATTATCAAGGGTGCAGTATGGTTTAGACACTGTTAAATCAGCAAAAACTATGCTTTTGCAAATAATTATTACAAATTTAACTGTAGGATTAAATTCCCCGTTGCCTCTTTGGCTGTGTCCTGATGCTGTACACTTGACTGTCCTGCTGACATGGCCATCTTTCTTGCGTAAAGTGGGGGAAGGAGACATCACATAAGGATAACTCAGGTTGGAAGGGAGCAGCCCCAGGCAGATGTAATTATACTGACCTCAGATACAGCTTCTTAGGTTTAGCCTAAGGGTTGGTTTTGGTTTTTAGTTTTTTGGGTGGTTTTTTTCCCCCCCCATCCCTTTCTAGTTTGGCTGCCACAGCTGTCAGGAGTGTCCAAGAACGGTGTTGTGCTGGGTAATGGGAAATGCCAAGGGTAGTGTGGGAGCGTTGTATGGATACCAGCCAAGGAATCGGGCCCTGCCACACCTGAGCTGGCTCGGAGGTGGGCTGCTTGGCATCTCCATACCTTCTTCCACACTTGGCAGAGCTCATCAGCTTTGACGCGGGCCCTTTTCCTGCCCTGTTAGAGACTGGGGTGCAGAGTGAGGGGGAAGGTTTCTCTTGCACAGAGTTTCCCTCTCTTGTTCATCATTCATCAGCCTGCCACAGATGCCATCCCAGCCTTTTCCCCTCACCTGTCCCTCAGGTGGGTGGTTCTTTTGCTAGTTTAACGTGGCTTCCTACCATGCTCTGAGCTTATGGCCCACCTAAACTTCTGCTAGCCCCTTGCTGCTGCAGCATCCATGTGCCATGGTCTCTCCAATCTGCTGCCCCAGTCCCTTGTCCTTACATCAGTGAGGTCTCTTCTCAGCTGTACCCAAGCCAGAGCCTCCTCCCAGCAGTGCCCAGGCCTTGGTCCCTCACACTGGCTTGCCTGGCCATCAGCCCAACCCTGTCCTTGTCCCAGGAGCCTGCTCTCGGGCCGGAAGGTTGTTGCCAAGACCAAGGACAGGTTGCATTTCCCTCCTTAGCCATCTCCACCCTCCTGCTGGATAAAGAGTAGAAGGCAGAACATCCTTACCGGGTCAGGCTGGATGGGGCAGAGGAGGGACCTGTGAATTGGGAAGGAAGACATGGGTTAGTAACGTGGTCAGAGAGAGCTGGGGAGCCAGGACTGACCTAGAGCTGTTGGGAAGCTGCACTTGGAGGGTGGTTGTGATACCTCAGTGAATGGGAAGAAGGCCTTTTGTCAGGCATGTGGTTCCCTTCATGAGGGTGGGAATTTGGCACTGGAATATGTGGAGCAAAGCATTTCTGATTTGTCTTACAGCTTCTAGAGTTTGAGGCAAACAGTGGCTTTCACAAGCTGGTGACATCAGACTGTCTCTACAGATGAGTCATGGTGATGTGACATCTCATTCAGCCTGAAAAGCAGAGCCCAGAGTCCCTCCTGGTCCCCTCTTCCCCGTGCCATTGCACAGCAGGGATGGTGGGCTGGGGGCCAGCAGCCTCCGGGCTTCTTGGGAGGTCTCATCCCTCAGGCCATGAGCTGATACTCATCTCCTACGAGCTGGCGTTTCCCTGCTCTCGTGGCCTTGGTGTGGCTGGAAGATGGGATTTCACTAATGATGGGGAAGCGTCCGGGTAGCGAGGCCCGAGGGACCCAGAGGGGCGGTCTGTAAAACGAGGACGCCCACCCCAGGAGATCAAACTGTTGTGTGGGGATGCAGCAAAGGTATAATCCTGCCCACGGGCTACAGGGGAAGAGGTAGTAATTAGGCTGCTTCAAGAAAAAAAGAATTAAAAATCTGGTTGTGTAGGCAGCGGGTTCTCCACTAATTGCCCATCTGTTAGTTTGTTAACATTTCTCCTCGGGTGCAGGGAAACTCCTGCTCCCTCTGTCTTTTCAAAGGTCCCTTCCCAAAGGAGACCTCCTGTCTGCAGGCTGTGACCAGCCAGCCAGGAGGTGCCTCTTACTTGTTCTTAGATTTCCCATTAGAAATGTCCTTCTCCTAGGGTGGGAAATCATAAAATCATTAAAAAAAACCCCAAAACAAACAACCCATCCTGCCTGACTTTATCTGCCACATCCCTTTGCTGGTTACCAGTGTGATGGAGGAAGCCTACCGAGGGAAATCGTGATACGTACCTCCTCTCGAGAAAATGGTGAAGCCCAGTATCACCAGCAAAATGAGCACTTTAATTCCCAGCGGCACAAAGATCAGGATCAGGAGGAAGGAGCTGTTGGATGCTTTGAATTTATAGAAGTACACAGCCCCCTCTGCTCTCCCGTGGCTGTTGACAGCAGTACAGGTGTATTTTCCGTCGTGGGTCAGGTACCGGAGCTCCTTGGTGACACGGTGGTTCATGGAGGTGATGGAGGTGAGGTTGCTGTAGGGTGGTCCGGTCCAGGTCAGAGCAGGCGCTGGCTCCCCCTCGGCGGTGCAGCGTGCCTGGAAGGTGTGATCCCCGTTGGAGCTGACAGTGATGTTAATGATCCTGGGGGCAGCTGCAGAAATCACAACAGGGGAGGGAAAGTGCGTCAGGTTTCAAAGGCAGGTCTAACACAATACACCTGGAATGAGCGCTTAGTCTTGGTGGACCCTCAACGTTATATCAGGGTAATGCTGGGTTCAAACTTCCCCTTCCTTGTTTTTCTCGGCACTTTCTTTC